GATCAGAGGATGAGAACATATATTTTGCCTTTAAACTTGTGTTGTATTCTTTTTCTTTTTGGACAATTTTCCCTCTCATTTCAAAGTTTATAGGTTTAATTTGCACAAGAATCTGTATCACCATATTTACTTTTGGATCCTCACTAGTTTCCATGTACTCTTTTCAAACAATATGTGACATTGAGTTCTTAATATGTACCAGGAACAGCTGCAATCACTAAATAGACTTACACTTTAAAAGAAAACAGGAAAGAATGAGGAGGAAACAACATTTGTTTCTCCCAATAACCATGCAAGGGCAGTACTACTGTCTTCATTGTATACATGCATTAACCAAGACTGAATAAATAAAAATCACCCAATTTAAAGTATCATTACTTTAAACTATTTGTCACTAGCCTCCTAGAAAGCATTCCTATGCCACAGTTTCTTCATTGCATTTTTTACTTCTGCATTTCTAAGTGTATAAATGAGGGGATTTAACATGGGGGCAATGATGGTATAAAATAAAGCCACCATCTTGTCCTCAGCAAAGGTAGTATTTGGGCGCAGGTACATGAAAGTACAGGGACCAAAAAACATGACGACCACAGCGATGTGGGAGCCACAAGTGGAGAGAGCTTTGCGCCTGCCTTCTGCTGACTGCTTTCTCAGGGACACAAGGATGAGAGTGTAGGAGATTAGCAAGGTAGTAAAGCCCCCCAAAGCAACGGTCCCACTGTTAGCTGTGTCAACCATACCCACAACAAATGTGTCTGAGCAGGCCAGTTTTAGCATAGGGTGGACATCACAAAAGTAGTGATCAATCACATTGGGACCACAAAAAGGGAGCTGGAGCATCAAAACTATCTGGATAAAAGAGTGTAAGAACGCAACCACCCAGGCCCCCAACAACATTCTCTTGCATCTGTCCTGGTCCATGATGATCAAATAGTGTAGTGGTTTACAGATGGCCACATACCTATCATAGGCCATTACAACAAGGATGAAAACCTCAGTAGGACCAAAGAAATGGGCCCCAAAAAGCTGCAACATGCACCCCATGTAAGAGATAGTTTTACTTTTGGCAAATAAGTTAACGATCATCTTGGGAGCTGTAACTGAGGAGTAACAGATGTCTACAAAAGACAAATAGTTCAGAAAGAAATACATAGGAAAATTGAGAAGATTCCCCATGCGCACTGTGAGAATGATGAGAAGGTTTCCCAGAAGAATAGCCAAGTAGAAGAGAGAAAAAAGTACAAGGCAAACTTCTTCCACCTTTGGGTTCTGAGAAAGACCCTTTAAAATGAACATAGTTACATTGTTTATTTTTTCCATGGAATCATTCTAGGAGGCCAAGTTCCCAAGACAATTAAAGCATCTGAAAAAAAGCAAAAGGACCAAGAGCATTATTTCCATTGTGGAAGAAAAGAATGGATAATGAGAACAATTGAAAATGGAATATATATACTTACTCCTTTTTACATGCAAAGAAATTGAAGAGTATGTATTCTGACCATCCATCTGTACACAACATTCATTCATTCACTTCACATGAGTAAAACAGTCCAGAGAGATCATGCAAATCCCCTAAGTTACCATCAAACCAAGAAGTCCATCTCTATTGCCATTTTTTAAGACATTCATTTGCTTGTCAACATTTGCTTAATTCTTATGCTGTATAAGCACTAAACCTGATTTTGAAACAAATTCTGTGTTTTAGGTCCCTGGTGGATGCAAACAGTTAACATGCTCAGCTGAATACTAAAAAAAAAAAAAAAAAAAAGGAGATTCAAGTTCATGTAGAAGCACTTGGAATAAAAGCCTGGAAATCTTTCAAGAAATCAGCTACTAGATACAAACTAGTAAGAAATATCCACCCTGAGCATAATGCTCTTTTAAACATTATGGGATCAAATTGACACCAGCAACACAGAAGTCTAGGTAGGAATATTTAGGGACAATGAGTTTATGTTAATGAGGGAGGAACAACTCAGAAAATGAGACTGAGAATGGTTGCACGACTTAAAGAATATAATTAGTGTCGCTGAATTGTACATATAAAATCTGTTGAATTAATGTATACTTTGCTTTGTATTTTCATAACAATGACAACAAAATAAACTCAAAACAAGAAAAAACAAAGAAGTCCTCTGGAGTACAGTTATACACTGAAATATAGGAGTCACCCCAAGTTGGAATCACATCTAAGGATATTTGTTGGTCTGAGTTTAGGGACAAAGTGACGTTTGCATATCTGGAGAAGTTCACCTCTTATTTGACACAGAAAAGGAAACCTAATCATAAAAGTTCCCTTCAGAACATGGACACTCCTCTATATCACATTCACCAGTGAACACAAGTGGTAGAGATGGTGAACCATCAGCAGGTTCTCCTACTTACAAAACTTGGTCTTGATGTGCATGTTTTTGTGTTCTCCCACTTGCTCTGAAGCTCTTCAGAGTCAAAATTTGGTGTGGGGTCATAGAAACAGAAGGAAAACTATGCCACCCTGACTCTTAGATAATGGTGCTGTTGTTGCTGCTGTTTTCTTAGGTGCCATCCAATCAATTTTCAATTCATAGACTTCCTGTGTGTTGAATGGGCTCAAACTGAATGGTGGTGTGACCTTGGGTAAACCATTTAACATCATGGGGCTTCTGTTGTTCTATGTTTGAAATGAGAATGTTCTAATTTTACTATCCTCTCTATCATCGTAAGTGTTATTTCTACCATGGATTAAATCAATCTGTCAATTTAGAATAGCCACATAACCTGGTAAGGAGGCAGAAATAAATGAAGATAAGGCAATACAATAAGCATACTGGAAACAAAGCAAAGCTTATTTTATTTGGAAGGAGATTTCTTCATCTTCATCCTTAAGCATATTTCAAGATACCTCAGGTTTTATTTTACCTTGGTATTTCAATCATTTGTCTGTTGACCAGGAGGGGTCAGGTTAAGGGTTTGGGGGAAAACTTGTCCTTTAAACTCACCACTTCTTCATGCATTCTTTTTAATTCTTCAACTTTCATCATGGCTCGTATAAGTTCTTCCAGCATGGGTGAAACAATGAGCAGTATTATCATTTTTACTGAAGAACTAAATATTTATGAAAGAGGTGATCACTGAAAGAAAATTCAAATGGGTAGAGGAAGAGGACAATATTGAATTTGAATGATCCATCTTCAGTGGTGAAATTTCATGCACTCTAGAG